ATATGATGGCCGGAGCGTTCTCTCGGGCCAATCGGAACACATCCCTAACCATTCGCGGGCCTTCGCCTAAGTATTTCTGCACGAATTCAGAGCCGACCACTCGTATGAAGGAAGCGGTCGTGTGATGGGCCACCGCTTTGGCTAACATTGTTTTGCCACAACCGGGCGGTCCGTACATCAGTACCCCTCGCGGCGGATCGATTCCGATCTGTTTGTAGAGTTCGAAGTGAGTCAATGGCAACTCAACCGCTTCCCGGATCTCCTGCTTCTGGATGTCGAGGCCTCCGATGTCGGCGTAAGTCACGTCTGGCTTCTCAACGGTGACAATACAATACCTTCTCCGGCAATACAATCCCCAACTCTTCCATGGGATGCGCTCTTCGGGTATACGACTGGAAACGGGATTGAAATGAATGGCAAACCGACAAAGAAGTGAATCAATTGCGGCGGATCGATTCCGATCTGTTTGTAGAGTTCGAAGTGAGTCAATGGCAACTCAACCGCTTCCCGGATCTCCTGCTTCTGGATGTCGAGGCCTCCGATGTCGGCGTAAGTCACGTCTGGCTTCTCGTCGGGTCTCAACATTGCGATACTGCTGTCGGCTTCGGGCGGCAAGACGTCCACCAAAGCGTTGCTGTGTTTGTGTAGCGCCACCGACGACGACGGCTTCAACAGTTCCCTATCGATTGTACTCAAGATTCTCACGTAATAATTAGATCCAGTGGTAGAGCCGACAATCCCGGTGTTGGCGTCGACCGCCTCCAAGAACTGGCCGATCACTAGCGGAACCGATTGAATACGTTTCACCTCCTCCTGAGCGTGAAGGTACTCCTTCTTCAGGTTCTTCTGTTCATCTTTGATGTACTCCTCCTGGACTTCGAGGAACTCCAACTGTCGCTGAAGTTTCTTATACTTCACGTACAGATCGTCCAAATCTTCGTTCTCGTGAGTCGGCGTCGAAGAAGTGGTCACCAGATGTTTGGCATCCGTTCCGAAGGTCTCCTCCTTTTGGAGCCGAAAGAGAAATGAAGACAAAAATATTGTCAAATGTGGACATCACTCAGTGGTTCACGTGTTCAACAGTGTCTTCAACGGTGACAATACAATACCTTCTCCGGCAATACAATCCCCAACTCTTCCATGGGATGCGCTCTTCGGGTATACGACTGGAAACGGGATTGAAATGAATGGCAAACCGACAAAGAAGTGAATCAATTGATGGCTTGTATTCATTCACTCAATACTATTGAGTCGACAATGAATTGCAATAAAATTTATACACAAAACACACAAACCGTCCGAAAGATGGCATTCAATGCAGTCATGCATTCATTCAATCGTTTCATCATTTCTTCACATGAATTGACAAAACATATGACAATTGTTTTGAAAGCACTTTTGCCGAAGACATCACCCGATAGGTTGTGTTGAGTGAATGGCCAGCAAAACGGCGGTAGTGTTGGGCGGAGGCATAAGTGGTCTTTCGTGCGCTTATTATCTGCAAAAGTTTTGCCGGCATTTGAATGCATTCAATAAGATTGTGGTACTGGAGAGCGGATCCCATTTGGGCGGTTGGCTCAAGACGTGTCAATTCGGGAATGGCGTGAGGCATGAGTTGGGACCGCGGACTCTGAGGGCCTCACAGAATGCCGGCTATAATGTCCTCTCAATGGTATTTGTCGACCACTATGTGATCCATACTTTGTTTTTGGCCAAAACTTTTATCCATATTGTTTTTATAGGTTGAAGACATCGGTCTCGCGGATCAAGTGATAGGCACTTCCGTGACGTCGAGTGTGACCAAAAAGAGGCAGATTGTAATGAACAACGAGTTGGTAACGCTTCCCAACAGGCCTTTAGATTATTTACGAAAACCAAAAGCATTTCCCAAACGATTGATATCTTATATTATCAAAGACTTAAAGACACCGAAAATAGATTTAAGTAAATATGAAAACGATTGCAGTGTTTATGAGTTCTTTGAGTACCGATTGGGCAAAGAAGTGGCCGATTATATATTCGATCCGTTGTGTCGCGGAATCACTGCCGGCGACTCCAANATCAAAGACTTAAAGACACCGAAAATAGATTTAAGTAAATATGAAAACGATTGCAGTGTTTATGAGTTCTTTGAGTACCGATTGGGCAAAGAAGTGGCCGATTATATATTCGATCCGTTGTGTCGCGGAATCACTGCCGGCGACTCCAAGAAGTTGTCAGTGATGTCAATGTTTCCGCAGATGCTTCGCGCCGAACAAGAGGCCGGTTCTTTGATTGCGGGAACCCTTCTGTCGGGCGCCAGAGAGAGCGCCCAAATGCATACGAGTCCTCTCGTCCAGAAAGCCGTGAAGAATAAGTGGAGTACTTATACATTCAAAGAAGGCATTCAAGCGCTTCCCAACCGATTGTGTGATTACATGTTGACTCTGGAGGACAATCCCATAGAAATATACAACAACTCCACTGTCAAGCAAATCGCATTCAATCAAAGCGCAAAGTCAGCTCTCATTAGTATCTCGACCCCCGATGACAGTAATGTCGAAATAGAAGCCGAGTATATCTTCTCATCGCTTCCAGCGAATAGTTTGGCCAAAGTGTTGCCCAATGAATACAGCGATTTATCCGATGTCTTAAATGAAATAAAGACAGTAAATATGGCTGTCGTTAATCTGGAATTTGATGGCAAATTAATGGCCGCCGATTCCGGGTTCGGGTTTTTAGTGCCCTCGTGTGAAGACTCGAAAATATTGGGAATTATTTATGATTCTTGTGTTACACCAGAATTCAATGCCGGACAAGATATCACAAGACTTACGGTTGGAGTTACTATTCCTCGACTGTTAAAAGGTTTCAGTATTGAAATAATTGGTTTAATTAATAGGTAATGATTGGCGGCGAATGGTTTGAAGAGGTTTTGGGTGATGTGGACACTGTTGACGAGCAAAAGCCATTGGATATTGCCTTAGAAGCGGTGGCGAAGTATCTCAAAATAAACTTCGATCCCCTCCGATATATCGTTACTATAAATCGAGTAAATACTGGCGTTTTTGTGACCAGTTTTGTGACTAATTGATTAATTTGTCGTATGATTTGTTTACAGAATTGTATTCCTCAGTACTATTTAGGACATCAACGAAGGCTTCAAACAATTGACGAATTAATTAAAAAGTATTCAATGAATATGACATTAATGGGTGCCTCGTATCAGGGCTTTAGTGTTCCCGATTGTATCCATTTCGCTAAGTTGTCGGCAGAGAGTTATGCCAATGCTATCAAAGGTGTCGCCTCTCAAACACACTCCCAGTCTAGTCAACAGAAGGATCAGATAAAGCAATGATTGCAAGCATTTAATCGTTAATTAGTTTAATTGTGTTTCAATTATAATGACAATAAAGAGAACTTTTATTATGTTTTAAGATTGTGGTCATAATAAGCACTGTATGAGTGCTTTTGGGAATAAACGTGATGAGCATAATATGCAGATTATGGTAAGTTTGAAAAGTTTTAGCATAATTTTCTACACTAGTTATATAAGTTATATAGTTATAATTAAAACTGGTATTAGCGTAAATTGTCATCTTATTTGCATTTGCGGTAATTTGTTTACATTTTTTGCTCAAATATATTAATATTTTAAGGGGTTTTATAACTGTAAATATTTATAAATTATAGTGAATGGTTAATAATTAGTTTTATAATATTGATCATTAACAAGGTTAGCTTATAATTGAAGTTTATTAGCCAATTTGTATTTAGAATTTTTCATAGAAAAAGTTTGTATTTACATATTATTTCATAATTTGTTTGAATAAATACAATGAAAAGTTTTCATTGAAAACTATTTGAGATTTACTTCGATAATTAATTGTAAAGTATACGGTAGTGTATAATATACTGTACTAGTAATTAATAACGAACTTGTTATCTAGATAATATTTTTAGTAAATGTATTGTAATTTAATTTTTTTTAATAGACAATACAATTATTGAATTAAATAAAATTGTTAATTAAATGATTAACAGATGTTCTGTTAATACAATTATTGCTAAAACACTATTTTATGTTTCAAATTGCACTATATTTTCAATGAGACCCAAATATTTTGATTCTTTATATGAATTTGTTGTCAAATTACATACTATGGACTTTATATTAGTGTTTTGTGAAGTGAATGTAATGACCGTTAGATTAAGTATTATGTAATCTGTGGTCTCTATTGTGTGAAATTGAATTGTTATGAAAGAAATATCAAATTTTGCGAATAATAGAGAAATAATAGAATTTTAGGAAATTGTGTGAAAAGAAGAACTCTTTTCACAAGAAATAGAAAATTGAATTCTGTTTTGTGGAGAAGAAGAAGAACTGGTCTTTTGTGTGAGCACTGGTCGTGACCGACAAACTTGATATAAAGTGCTATCAAAATGTTTATTATATACTGTGTGTTCACTACTCTCTCAGCTTTTATTAGTTCTCGAAAATAGTTTTATTCAAACAATTTTTTCGTTCATAAGTATTGCTCGAAATTGTGAACCGAAAGAAGAAGTATTTTATGAAATATTTCTATGAATTATTTATGAGATTTTGTATTGAAAGAGAAGTGTTTAAGAGAGTGAAAGTGAAGGCGAGAGAGAGAG